ACGTCCATATGGGAATGCATGGGGCAGGCAGAGGTTGTGGGGAGCAGGGAATCCTGCAAGCAGCTCAGTTCTATGGTATCTAAAGCTTTAAAGGGAATAACCAGGAAACTTGAATTGCACCTGAACATCTATTGGGAGCCAATATAAGTTCATATGCGAGTAAAGGCAGGTGAGCGAATACTTTTGGCAATATAGTGTAAGTAGGAGTGTGTGTGTCTGTGCATGCGTCTTTGTATTCTCACACGCCAGGCAACCACATGGAGAGAGCACTCACCTTTGAAATGCCTGGTGGGTATGTAGCAACCTGAAATGCCTTCATTTGGTTGCATGCAGACAAGCGACAAGACGATCTTGTACTCCATGGCCAGCGTCTTGGTGAACTGTACCAACAGCTATGATGTCAAAGAACTTGTCCCTGAACTTGTGCAGCTGGCCAAGTTTTCTAAGCAGCATGTACCTGAGGAACATCCCAAGGTAGGCATCATCAGTCCTCTAAGGAGCACCAATTTGTTTTGATACCAACTCCATACAGCTCTCAAAGGAGACCCTTTGAGAGCTTTATGCAACGTAATTTCATTTTGATGTATGTATTCAATCAGTGGTGGCATTGAAATAATTTAACAACCGGTTCTCTGCCCTAATGACCAGCTGGGTTGGCGTGGCTCAGTGGCCATGTGACTGGGTGGGTGTGGCCAACTCAATGTCACTCACGTCGATGGGCGTTTTGCCCTAGCTGTTACAATGTAATGTAAGAGTTAACCGGAGAGGCAGGGCAATAAAGATTTGGCTAGAAACAACACCAGAATGTTTCCTCCTTGCCTACCTTACAGGATTAGCCCTGAAAAGTGGAAAAAAACCAAAATGAGATTTCTTCCAATAACCGGTTCCCCAAACTGCTTAGAAAGTTAACAACCAGTTCAGTGAACAGGCTGAATCCCACCACTCCATTCAATGTGACAACAAAGTGTTCTATTCTATTTCATTCTCATCAACAATTATCATTTCTCTTTTCTCCCCAAAGGACAAAAAGGACTTCGTTGCGAAGCGAGTGCAGCGTCTCATCAAAGCTGGAGTCACATCTGCCTTGGTCTGCATGGTGAAGGCAGACACTGCTATTTTGACAGATCAGACCAAAGAACTTTTGGCTAGGTAATTCTATCTAAGGGGCTGCCACAAAGAAGAGGGGAGGGTCAATCTGAAGGCCGGACAAGAAGCAATGGGTGGGAACTAATCAAGGGGAGAAGCAACCTACAACTAAGGATACATTTCCTGACAGTGATAACAATTAATCAGTGGAACAACTTGCCTCCAGAAGCGGTGGGTGCTCCAACACTGGAAGTTTTAAAGAAGAGATTGGACAACCATTTGTGTAAAATGGTATAGGGTTTCCTGCTTGAGCCAGGGGTTGGACTAGAAGACCTCAACATTCCCGTCCAACTCTGTTATTCTGTTATTCTCTCACTCTTTGTGATCCTTCTTGACTGAATTGTAAGCCTGATTGCTGTGTCCCCTTGTTTATTACAGCATTCCTTAAAAAAAACCTGTATACACTGAAATATAAATGAGGAATATGAGCAAGAATTGTAATGAAAAATGTTTTTCTCATCTCTGTTCCTTCCTGGCAGAGTTTTTCTCGCTTTGTCTGACGACCCCAAGGATCGTGGTACCATTGTTGCTCAAGGGGGTGGGAAGGTAACTCATTTCTACAACTTCTTCATTTGCAATAGATGGGCTAGCTTCACATGTATATATAACCAGATCTAGTGCAGTGATGGCTACCCTTTTCCAGACCAAGTGTCCAAAGTGCGCCCACATGTGTGCGGATGCGCACCCGAACCCCCAAAATGCAATGCATGTGTGGCCCCCTGCATGCATGCATGCCCCTCCCCCTGCATGTGCCCCACCCCCTGCACATGTGCACGCCCTCCCGCACACACCCTATCCCGTATGCACGGCAGAGATCTGACAACCAGCTGGCCGGTGGGAGGCACACACGTATGTGTGGAGAAGTTGAACTGGGGCGACAGCTTGCGTGCCCACAGAGAGGACACTGTGCCATCATGGATCTAGTGGCTACCACATAATTGCTTGACATTTTGGCCGGTTTCACACAAAGTGCAAAGACAATGGCCAAGTTCCGGGGATAAATGTCCTTATCACTAGGACATTTTTTTTTTGAGGTCCTGCCAAAATCTATTTTTTTTGTAATTTAAACCATTGTTTCTTCCCTCTCTCTTCTTGAGCAGCATCCCAGCTCCGTTTGAGCCTGTTGTCTTAGACCAAGGGTGTAAGACCAAGACCAAGTTCCAGGGATTCCCATCCTATGGGATTGGGCCCATAGGATGCTTAGATCTGGCCCGTGGAGCTGTCCTAGAAACAGCAAAGGACCAGCCCATTGTGCCTCTGCCAGCAGAAACGGAAGGAGGACCACATGCGGCCCTCCTAGGCTCCATTTTCAGCTGCAACGGCCTCTTGCCACCCTCTACAATTTTCCTTTCCTTCCCTCTGCCCTTATTTCCTCCATTCCTACAATAATTAGGAATTATGCAAACTATTTTGCTTCATTTCTACCTTTTCCCTGTGCATATGTTTTGTTTTTATACTATGTCTTTTTGCAAGGGCTGATATTGTAGAGCGGATATAAATTACATCAGTACAATAGGTGTTTATCCTATAATTTCTTTCTCTTCATCTTTAGGCCCTTATACCACTGGCCTTGGAAGGCACAGATGTTGGCAAAATAAAAGCATCCCATGCCCTGGCCAAGATTGCTGCCATTTCCAACCCTGACATAGCATTCCCTGGCGAGAGAGTGAGTAAATTCATGTGTCCTGCAACAACTTTATAAAACAGTAAAGTAATTGTGGGAACAAGCTGCATTTCAGTAACTGGAGAGGGATATAAATATATGAAGCTGCCCACACCACTGAACAGCTTTTTCCTGTTTGATATCCAAACAAAATCTACTTTCTTATCATTAGAATTTTTTCTTATCCCATCTTCTGAAATTTCTCTGAATAATTCTCCATTTCCTATGACAGTCTTTTGAGTATTTGAAGACAACTATCATGTCCTCTAAAGGGACGCGACGGCTCAGTGGCTAAGATGCTGAGTTTGTCGATCAGAATGGTCGGCAGTTTGGCAGTTCAAATCCCTAGCATAATAGAGTGAGCTCCCGTTACTTGTCCCAGCTTCTGC